ACGCTGCTCACAGCATTCAAGGCGATCGGCGCGGGCAATCCCCTGCCCTGGGCGGGTGGTGCTGCTGTGCCAGATGCACACTGATTTCCTCACTAAAAGCACCTGCACTGTGAAAAAACTCATACTTTATGATTGTTTTTTTGCAAATGTTACAATGAATATTATATGTGTAATGTTAGAAAGCTATGCTGTATTGATCCTCTTAAGTAGTGTGCGAAATACAGTTTTAGGTTACAACATAATGTTAAAATAGAAACTCTGTGGTATAGGATTTGTTACAAGTGAGAAGATGAGATAATCAAGAAACTTCACAAAGATGTCAGGGAAGTGGGCCCATAAAGAGTTACAGCCACCTTATCATAAAGACAAACATTCTTCCACCTTCTCTCTGTCTTTGTAGAACCACCAAGATTAAGGAGAAGAAATTGACAAAAACCAGAAAAGTCCTTAATTTTCAAGGAATTTATGCATCATGTATGAGATATATGAATATGCAACAGGCTATTCTTTTTAAGGTTATTTCTTTGTTCACATGGTATGCTTTTTGTGACTTAGTGTCCAAGAGCATCTGGACATCTGTAATTCTTTGCTTTTTATTGTCCTGTAATTGTCCTAACTCTAAATTTTATTACTGTAATCGTATTACTAATTTTATAACCATTTATTTTTATTATTATTAAACTTTTACAAATTTTAAAAACCAAGTGATTGGCGTTTTCCACACGCACCATGAGCTGAGGGTGAATACCGCGGTGCGTTTCCCCACGGCACCGTGGCTACCGCGATGTTTTATTCACAGGATCAGCGAGGGAGCCGCTCCGCCCTCACACAGCGCCCTCACAGCGGCACCCGCCGCCATCTTGGGGGCGTGGCGGCCGCGGGGCCGTCCCCGCCGGAAATCTCGCGAGACGCGCGCGCGCTGGCGGCGCGCCCCGCCTTTCCACCCGCCGCCATCTTGGGGGCGTGGCGGCCGCGGGGCCGTCCCCGCCGGAAATCTCGCGAGACGCGCGCGCCCTGGCGGCGCGCCCCGCCTTTCCTCTTCCTCTGCGGCCGCCGCCCCGAGGTGAGGAGCCATGGTCGCGCCGCTCCCGCGCCATCCGCCGCCATCCGCCCCCACCCCGCCCCATCCCCGCTGCCAGCGGCGTCCCGGACACCGGGATCGCTACGACATGCCCCGCGCCCGCGGTATTCCCCGGGATGGCGCGGGGGAGGGCGGGCGCGGATGTGGGGGAGGCACAGGCCGCAAATCCAAAAATCTGTGGCTGCGATGATGACTTTCTTAGGACACCTTTGGATGTAACTGTGAAAAGAACGCGTAATTCCTGAGCAGCTTTGGCGGTAAGGGGAGTAGTTCAGGTCCTGTGTGGCAGTGTTAGAAGTTTAATATGTTTTAATTGGTGTATTTCAGCTGAGCTCTCAAGATGGTGCGCTACTCCCTGGATCCGGAGAACCCCACGAAATGTGAGTTATTGTTTTAGGAAAATTCGTGTGGGATTTCCCGGAAGCCAGTGATGTTTTGATTCTAAAACTTGGTCTTTTTTCTCTCTTGCAGCATGCAAATCCCGGGGGTCTAACCTGCGTGTGCATTTCAAGGTAAGAAGTGTGTTTAGCAGAAATCGCAAATTCATTTCCTGGTTTACGTGGTTTTTGTTAGTTTTTGTTGTTACTTTTTAAAAGAAGCCCAGACTGGTTGGGATTTAAAGGGATTGTACGGATAATCTCTTCCCACCCTCTGCCGTGGTTAGGGACTAAACTCCCGTCCAAGCGTGGCCCTGGAAACTTCCAGGGATCCAGGGGCAGCCACAGCTTCTCTGGGCATCCTGTGCCAGAGTTCCTCGCCCTCACAGCCAGGAATTCCTTCCTAATATCCTATCTGGCCCCTTTTTAAGGAAGGGTCTTTTGCTCTTTAACCACTGAAGGACTGCTGTTAGTTGCTTGTAATGGTCTTCATCCACAAAAAGTTAGTCTTGATCCTAAAATTGTCCTTTTGTAATTCAGATGACAAAATACAGCAGCAAAACAGTTGGAATAAATTTATCAGACACCGGGCTGGTGTTTGGTGTGTAATTTGCTTAATTTCTCCTACTCCTTTTGATTGTGTGGTTTTTGGCACAAGGACCTCAGTTCCTTGGAAAAGGCAGAAAAAAATTTAGGAGTGAAACTACAACTTGCAGGTCATTTTCTGCTTAGTGTAATATGAAATTCGCACTTTGGTTTCCTTTTCTTTGATTATAGACAGGCAGTTATAGTTAGAGCTGGCTTACACAATTTGTAAATGCTGTCTAGAAGACTGACCTTTTATCCTTAATTTTATTTCTGAGCCTTTTTTTCTGTTAAAATTTTTTCAGGGAAAACAACATTGTTAACAATTGTCCCAGTGTTTCTCCATCAGGTCCTGTGAGGTGCTGTATTTGACCTTTTAGTCAGAATTTATCCATCCAGATCTTGCTTTCTTAAGAGGAGCTATGAGCAGTATAAGTTCTTAAATTACAACTCCATTAAGAGCTACAAATTTTCGTGTTGGATTTAGCCACTGGGTTAAAAAAAAAAATAATAAAAACCTGTGCTGGAGTCACAAATTTAGTAGTGGCAGTCATACCGAGGGTTAAAAAAGTGGTAACAAAAAAAAGTGTTAGTTTTAGACTTGGGTCTTGTTTGGTGTTTCCTTTGTAGCAGAAAGAATTGTATCCAGGGAAGACAGAGTATTCAGGTTGTGCTCATGCTGCCTCCTGGAAGGATTTGCTCAGAGCATCTTTTCTGTGTCCTGTGTTGGCAGAACACCCGAGAGACGGCGCAGGCCATCAAGGGCATGCACATCCGCAAGGCCACCAAGTACCTGAAGGATGTCACCCTGAAGAAGCAGTGTGTCCCCTTCCGGCGCTACAACGGCGGCGTCGGGAGGTGTGCCCAGGTGAGCTCCTGGGAAACTTGCATTAAAACACATAACCACAGGGTGGTTTGGGTTGGAGGGGAGCCCAGAGCTTGTCTAACTCCCATCCTGCCATGGGTAGGGACATCTTCCACCAGACCAGGTAGCTCAAGAGGGAGAAAAGAGTGGCTGTTAATTCCAGAAGATGCATCTACGTGGAGTGTTTGCATCTAATTGGCAGCATGGAGTCAAGCGATTAAATTTTGTTGAGTTCAGTGTGCACCAAAATAGAATATATTGTAATCCATTCTAATCCATATGATATGGAATCCTCAGCGCAGGATGGACATCAGCCTGTTGGATCCAGCCCAGAGGAGGCCACGGAGCTGCTGCCAGGCTGGAGCCCCTCTGCTCTGCAGCCAACCTGGCAGAGCTGGGGCTGTTCCCCTGCACAAGAGAAGCTCCAGGGAGAGCTCAGAGCCCCTGCCAGGGCCTCAAGGGGCTCCAGGAGAGCTGCACAGGGACTGGGGACAAGGCAGGCAGGGACAGCACACAGGGAATGGCTCCCACTGCCAGAGGGCAGGCACAGATGGGAGATTGGGAATTAGGAATTGCTGGCTGGGAGGGTGGGCAGGCCCTGGCACAGGGTGCCCAGAGCAGCTGGGGCTGCCCCTGGATCCCTGGAAGTGTCCCAGGCCAGGCTGGATGGGGCTTGGAATAACCTGGGACAGTTGAAGGTGTCCCTGCCATGGCAGGGGGTGTCACTGAATGAACTTCAGGGTCTCCTCCAACCCAAACCATTCTGTGATAATGGCAAGTTAAAGGTGTATAAAAGCTAACGGGAATGGACAGGCCAAAAGCAGGAGTCCCATTGTTGTCCTCTCATTCCAGGCCAAGCAGTGGGGCTGGACACAGGGCCGCTGGCCCAAGAAGAGCGCAGAGTTCTTGCTGCACATGCTGAAGAATGCAGAGAGCAATGCTGAGCTCAAGGTGGGTGTTACTGAGCATAAAGTGGTGTCATGCTCTCTGTCAGCACCCCTGGCTTGGGTATCAATGACCTGGGGAGCCACTTCCCACCTACTTCCTCCACAAAACTGAAGTGCATGGAGGGTTTGGTGTGGCTCCCTGTTTAAAGCAGGCTATGTGTGTTCCTCAAGTTAAATGGCAGCAACAGTTTTTCATGGAAAAAAATCTAAATTTCAGACAAAAGGGCTGTTAAGATATTGCAGAATCTGTGAAATTGACATCTGCAGACTTGGTCAGTCACTATCTTTGTTGTTACAGGCATAATTTGGTAGCTTTGTTGGCAGTGTTGGAGTAATACATGTCACCTTTGCATAACCATGAAATAACCATAGACAATGAGCCGTCAGCACAGTTTTAAACTGTTTGTGGTGTGTGAGGGCTGGTCTTTGTAATTTTAAATGGTGCTTGCTTTGGAAAGTGCTCATCTCCATGACACTGCCAAGCTCTGAACTGTCAAGTTCCATTGGTAGATCCTTGAAAAACTCTGAGCTCCATGGCATAGCTAAGCCTGGCTGTGTCAGTGGTGAATCTTTGGAAAACCCTGAGCTCCATGGCATCACCAAGCCTGGCTGTGTCAGAGGTGAATCCTTGGGAAATGCTCGGGTTCATGGCACAGCCAAGCCTGGCTGTGTCAGTAACAAATCCTTGGAAAACCCTGAGCTGCATGGCACAGCCAAGCCTGGCTGTATCAATGGCAAATCCTTGGAAAATGCCCAGCTCCGTGTCACCACCAAGCCTGGCTGCTCCATTCACCATCAGCGGTGTCTGGGACGATTGCTCACGTTCTTGCTGCAGAAATGAATTCCTTTAAGATGCAGATGGCTCACAGATTTTGTTCCTTGCCAGGGTCTTGATGTGGACTCCCTGGTGATCGAGCACATCCAGGTGAACAAGGCTCCCAAGATGCGCCGCCGCACGTACCGGGCGCACGGCAGGATCAACCCCTACATGAGCTCCCCGTGCCACATCGAGATGATCCTCACGGAGAAGGAGCAGATCGTGCCCAAGCCAGAGGAGGAAGTTGCCCAGAAGAAAAAGGTACCAGTGTCGTGTGCTTGCTTCTGTAACCCTGTTGGGAGAGCCGAGGGTCCGGCAGAGAGAGGGGTTGCTGTGATGACTATCTTAGGACACCTTTGGAATGCCCATGAAAAAATAGCATTATTTCTCTGAGCAATCCCTTTTCTTAATTTTAACACAAGTATTAAGCACTTGAGAACCCGGAGAACCATTTTTTAATTGCACAGAGAGTTGGTTCTTTCTTCTGTCAGAATGGTTACAGCATTCTCAGACAGTGCGAACCCTGGGCGTGTGCAATAAAATGAGTTTAGAGCCTGCAAGCAATGTAGTGCTTGCAGGGATTCCTGTTCATGTGCAGGTGTGATAAATGTATCATTTGTGAGAGAATTCCTGACAGTTTGCAGCACTTCTAAAAGATAACTTCAGGATGTTTTGGGAAGTCTCATTTCACTGTTTTTTCTTTCTTTCTGTGCTTCCCAGATCTCCCAGAAGAAGCTGAAGAAGCAAAAGCTAATGGCTCGGGAGTAAATCTGCAAGGACAGATGTACATAAATAAAATTTTAAAGTTTCGATTGATTGTGTTGCTCTGCTACAACTTCTGACTTGGGGCTGGGCGTTGCTGTGGGACAGGGGCAGTAAATATTACAGAACCATGGGGTGGTTTGGCTGGGAAGGGGTTTTGAAGCCCATCCAGTGTTGCAGCGACACCACCCACTGTGTCGGGGTGCTCCAAACCCGATGCAGCATGGACTGGAACACTGCCAGGGATCCAGGGACAGCCACAGCTGCTCTGGGCACCGTGTGCCAGGGCCTGCCCACCCTCCCAGCCAGCAATTCCTTCAGGTATTGCACCTTCAAACCGGGCCATCCCACAGTTCCCCCTCCTAAATCCGGGATAATCTGGAATCCTGTCGGCGGGGCGGGGCCTGGCGTGTCACGTGACGCGCGCTGCCGCCTGCCATTGGCCGGAAGCGCCGCCCCGGAAGCGCGGGGCCATTCCGGTGCGGACGCAGGTGGGTGCGGAGCGCCGGGAGCGCCGGGAGCACCGGGAGCACCGGGAGCACCGGGAGCAGGGAATGATCCCTTCCCCACATCCCTCCGCGCCCCGCCCGGCCCGCGCCTGCCCGCCCCGCCGGTAGCTCACGGGCTGCATCGGCCCCAACCGCCCCCGGAGAGCAGAACGGCAGCGCCTGGCATTCGCCAGCCTCCTGGCTCGCTCGTCCTTTACGGAAAACAGGGAAAACCCGGCGGGTTTTCCTTGTGGCGCTTTCCGGGCGCTGGGAACGGAGCCGTGCCGTGCCCAGGATCGCCCGGCAGTCAGCGAGCTGCGAACCTGCCCGGCCACCTCCTCACCCCTCTCCCTTTTTGTCTCCCTTTTTGTCTCCCTTCCTTGCTAACCAGCTGGCGCAGCATCGCCAAGTCACCGAAGGAATCCATCGGGACGGTGCTTCTCGCAGATCCCGGGGGTCGCTGCTGCATCAGGCGGAGGTAGGGATGATTTTTTGGGGAGGGATCTTTGGCACGGAGCGGCTGCAGAGGCGACACAACCCATGCTGTTTCGCTGGGAGGGAGCGTGGAGGGGCAGGACACAGGGAATGGCTCCCACTGCCAGAGGGCAGGCACAGATGGGAGATTGGGAATTAGGAATTGCTGGCTGGGAGGGTGGGCAGGCCCTGGCACA